CCACTCACAAGCAGCATGGTGCCCCAGCGCACCTCAGCAGCATGTACCAGCTCAATGCAGGATAGGTGTAGCCTGGGACACATGAAGAGGGCACCTTGCCACACATTTCCATTTGGCCACACACTTGCATCTGGCGCTGGTGCACGCGAGCATTTGTAGCAGGTGGGTAATGAGTGTCTTCGGGTAGAAGTTTGAGAACAAGCTAGACAGCGATTGTCCATGCTTCTCTCGGGGGGCATGGGAACTGTCTACCCAGCCTCTCCTTAAATCCTAGGGACGTACTCGCAGCAGGTTACGAGCTGAGTGCGCCCCCCCAGAAATAAATCTCAGCGAGTTGTCAATTGTGAATGCGCTTCATCAAATTCCAGTTGCTGGAAGCGTGAGCTCTCAGCTGTTTCATTCTAGAATGCGAGACAACTGCGTGCCGTCGCGCCCTCAGTTAGTCGTTTTTGCTGGCCTTTCAATACAAATTCCCGCCCACAGCGCTTGACAGACCCCATTCCCCCGCGTGACTTCTCAGGTCAGCCACGGGTGCGAAATGACTTCTCAGCCACCGGCATCACGCTCGCCAGGCTGACAGACACGCATGCCACGCGCGCACACACGCAAAAGATGACTTCTCATCCCAACCGCTGCGCCACTGTGCGCTTGACGACACGCGAGTACTGCCATCACACCTGCGCACGAAGACTGACAGTGGACCAGTGGCCCTTCTTCACCCGAGCAAAAAATGAATTCTCAGCGCCGCTATCAACAAGCACAAAACTAGGAATGATCCTTCAGCCCTGCCTCGCCCGAACGCACACAGAAAGAAAAAATGAGTTCTCAGACGCGCGTGTCGAACTATGAACCTTCAGCCCTTCTTCGCCCAAATGATAAATGACTGCTCCGACCTGCCGCCACGCGCAAAGCTCCGCAACGCTGCCCGTCCAAAAAATGGGCCTGCTGCCGCTCACCCACGCGTACACACTACAAAAAGGAGTTCTCGGAACTGCTTCTCACAATTTATTGGGTTCTGAGCAAAAACCACCACCCAAAAAATTGACTTCTGAGGCCACCTCTCAAGACTGCTGTCCGCGTAAAGTTGGGCTCTCAGCGCTGTTGCCCACAAAAAATGACTTCTCAGGCCACATGCCACGAACAACACACTGAACCTTCAGCGCCTCCTCATTCCAGCACGCACCCACGCACACACACACACACACACTGCGAAAAAGAGTTCTGAGAATCGCTTTCCACATCCCGGTCCAAAACAATCGTTTGGGCTGGCTACCAGCATCCGAAGGATTCACACAGCGCGGCGCGCAGCGCCATCAGCTGAGGTACGGCATCGTCGCAGCGGAACCATGATCAGCCGCTGCCAGCTCGGTTGAGGGGGCGCCCATTGTCAGCCCAGCGCAGCCACAAGAAATGAAAACTCGGAGCTCTGAGCTGAGAATTCATTTTTTGGGAGTGAGGAGAGTCCAACAAAGCCAGGGACCAGGGGTTTGGGGCCCAGCCGGCTGCAGCATGTATGTGAAACCTTTGTCAGCACACACAAGGCCTGTGCCCAAATCCCATGCTTTCGTTGTACAGTTGGGCCCAACTGTACAACGAAACTCGGGTTCCCCAGACCCCGGGTTTCGTTGTACAGCTGGGCCCAACTGTACAACGAAACCCTGGGTTTTGAACATGTGTACAACGAAACCTGTGTCAGCACATACTCCGCCTTTCGTTGTACACATACCCAAAACCCAGGGTTTTGTTGTACAGTTGGGCCCAACTGTACAACGAAACTCGGGTTCCCCAGACCCCGGGTTTCGTTGTACAGTTGGGCCCAACTGTACAACGAAACCCTGGGTTTTGAACATGTGTACAACGAAACCTGTGTCAGCACATACCCCGCCTTTCGTTGTACACATGCCCAAAACCCAGGGTTTCGTTGTACAGTTGGGCCCAACTGTACAACGAAACTCGGGTTCCCCAGATTTCGTTGTACAGTTGGGCCCAACTGTACAACGGAGCCACCCTTCCCTGACTGAACCCCCTCCCTGGCTGGGAACCCCGGGTTTTGTTGTGCACTGTGGGGATTTGCTAGGCTGTCTGGGAGGGGTGGTTTCAGTCAGGGAAGGGGCTGTACACAGAGCCACACTACCAGGCTTGCAGGAGGGGTGGCTCCGTTGTACACTTCGACCCAACTGTACAACGGAGCCACCCTCATTGTCTCCGTTGTACACTCTGGGCTGGCTCCGTTGTACACTCTGGGCTGGCTCCGTTGTACACTCTGGGCTGGCTCCGTTGTACACTCTGGGCTGGCTCCGTTGTACACTCTGGGCTGGCTCTCCTGTACCCTCTGGGCTGGCTCTCCTGAACACTCTGGGCTGGCTCTCCTGTACACTCCGGGCTGGCTTGGGCTGGCTCCGATGTACAGTTTGAACTGGCTGACACCTGCACTGTACCATGGGCAGGCCCTGTGCCTTCGCGTAGGATTTTGGCTGACAAACTCATCCCTCCTGTGCCGCCCAGACATGTCTGTTTTACAGCGCTTCTTGCTGGAGGAGGACACCCCAAACCTCGCTGACTTCCAGGATGTGGCGGAAGCACTCGCTTCCCCGAAAAGCAAGGCCAGCCCTCTCTCAGAGCGACTGCGTGCCTTGGAAGGCGGCACCGATGTGGAACTCATTCATGAGGAAGTGGCAGAGGAGCGATCGCGTTGGCTGCCCATCGAAGTGCAAGAATTGCCTTGCTAGGAGCCGGGCACATCAGCTCAAGGATGTGAGCTCATTGAGGAAATGGCGGAGGTGTGGCAGTCCATAATTTTTAACGAGCACCCACTCATGCAGGAAGAGAAGGAGCCTCGAGATGATGAGTGCGGCAGCCCTGGACCGTTGGGAACCTGGGGACGTTCGGGACACTGCGTGGACACCCATGTGACCTTGGAGGCAGGACGGACGAATTGCTCGATATTGCATAGCTTGCCTGGCAGGCTGCAGAGAAGGCGGGCTTGGGCTTGGAGGCAGGACACTGCAACAGTCAGGATTGTGAGCCACGCAGGAGACTTCCATTCTCGTGATGGTGCAGAAGCCCACTGCTGAGGAGCAGCTGGCCATCGAAAAGATGAAGTGCAAGTTGGCAAGGCAGGCTAAGAGAAAGGACAAGGACCAAGCCAAGCCTGCGAGGCACAAGGAGGAGGAGTGCTCACTCAACACGGAAGCTCCCAGCCCGGGTCAGGCGGCCAGCGCTGGTGAGGGACTTCCTCAGGACACAGCTGAGCCTGCGATTCAAGACAAAGGCACCCTCTCGCTGGCTGATGAGGAGCAGCTTCCTAGCCCCCCCGATGAGGTTAAGTGGCGCGCTCGAAAGTTGCTGCGTCCGGCGCCAGTCTTGGGTGCGAACTTCGCTGGGCGCCGGCCCAACCCTACCAACCAGAGCCGCCTCGACGAGCTTGAGGAGGTGTTTGTTGAGCTGGTGCGCCGCTCTCACTCCTTGCCGTCGAATAGCCAGAAAATGCAGCGCTCTTTCTTTCAGCACTGCAAGGGTCGTGAGGACCTCGGCAAGGCTGCCCAAGAATTTGCTGACCTACATGGACTCTTCAATGGGCCAGAGCCCGAAGAAGCCTGGCCTAGTGTCGTGCCAGCTCAAGGGCGTGGGCCGAAGGCTATGAAGCGGCCCGCCACGGCAGTGCTGGCAAAGAAGCCAGCCAGCAAGGTTAGAGCAGAGTGAGTGCACTGTCCAGAGTGCACCATCTTCTGAGGAACTGCTCTCCATGTTGAGTTCTGGGGCCCTGGGGACCCTGGAGACACTAGCCGGGTTGCGCAGGAAACCAGCAGCAGCCGTTGGTAACTCTGGCATTTTGCGTGAAAGCAGCGAACGTTATAAAGGTGGTGTCAGTCTGAGTTGTTGCATGTGACGCTCCACAGTTTGAGACATTGCAGGTGCAAGTGCCTGGGCTCAAGGAATGTGACAGTTTTTCTGATTGCGCTTGGTGGGCTTCATCCGAAGGGGCTTGCAAAACCAATGATCGCTGCTGATACTCGCATGCAGTTTGCTCCCACATGTTTGCCTGGGCTCAAGCAAGTGTGACAGTTCTTCTTTTTGTGTGTGCTGGCCAAGCCACTCCAGGGCCTGGGGACTTGGGGATCTAGGGACCTCTGCGACGACTGCAATCTCAGTGGGAAAAACCCTGGCCGTGCCTGAGCCTTCTGAAGAAAGGGACTCCATACTCGGGCAAGCCCGTCGGGATGTCATCCTTCACTTGCAGCAGGACCATGTTTGAGCGTATTTCAATTTCCGCAAGTTTTGATGCGCTGCGTTTCTTGTCATGCGTGAGGAGCTGAAGGATTCCTCTGGGCGAGCGCGGTATGCAGATGTCAACCAGTGGCTGCTCAATGTTCTCGCAGAGCCACACACCCAGAGCTGCTTGCAGGAGCTGGAGAATGCTGTGACGGCCTGGCATTCACCACCAACTTTGCTTACCTCCATTCCTGCCGCCCCGTCCAGAGACGAGACCTTCAGCTTCGCAGTCGCCTGGAGAAAGCTTGGCTGGAAAGAAGACAAGTTCTGCCGCTTCGCGCCGTCCGTCCCCCAGGTCATCGACTGCAGCACATTCTTACTTGACAGGGAGGGCTGCAACTCCGAAGAGTCCCCCCCATAGTTTGTGTGTGTACTTTGAGGACGCTGCTGGAGTCGAGCTGCAGGGATGTGTCATTGTGTGTTGACTCTGGCTTCTGGGTGCGTCACAGACGTGCCAACATGGGCTGGCAGTGTCCGCACTGCGAGGGTGCACCAGCTAGCCATACGTCCAGACCTTGGCCCCCTACCTGTACAAGTGCATGTTCTTGACCTGCCGCTATGTGTATGCCAAGGACTTGACGAAGCGCCGGCGACTCTCCATTGTCAAGAAGAACGAAGTGACACAAAGGACGAGGGCAACTCCATTGCGTCTGGCCAGGACTGCGTCAAACGCATGGTTAGTGATCAGCCTCACTTAAGGCCTGTTGGTCAGTAACCTTGTGTGACAGGACCATTCTCGCGAACTGCGTGGCTGAGCGGGGGCAGGGCAGCAACCTGCCATTGCGCAAACTGGTTGAGGCAGAGCTTAGCAAGCTGGACCAGGCTGCTGGTCGCTCACAAGCAGGACGCCTGTCCTCCGTGGAGAAGAATGCGGTGACCTTCCTCTGCCTCACAACCGAGCCAATCCGGCAGAAGGTCCGCCTCATCTGGGGTGATGAGAAGGTAGCCCACAGCGCGGTCCCGACGGAGTTCCTAGACATTAAGGGGCAGGGGCGCTTCCTGATGGAGACCACAGTGCCAGAGGAGAAGGCGGAGTGGCGGGAGCGGACGGCCCCTGCAGAAGAGAAGCTGTTGCTGTGGCTGGACCGGCTGTCTGAGGCCTTCAGCTGGCGGGTGCAGGAAGCGTACGAGAAGTCAGAGCGCCCATCCATGGACGCTGTCGCGCACAAGTTTCGGGACACTGAGCCAGAAATTGTCTACAGGACTTGTTGCATGTTCCTGGAGAGCAGCCCGGACCAGATCGCCCTCATGTCCTCTGAGCGACAGCAGCACTTGCTCCAAGACTTCTTGCGTGGCAAGATCAGCAGCATGGTCCCCTCAGCCAAGGCCATGGACCCAACGTATCGGCCAAGGACCCATCTCCGCTTCTTGAGGGAAGCCATGAGCATGGCATCTGGTGATCAACAGGCGCTGCAGGCAGAAGAAGCGCAGGCAGAAGCCACCAGAAACAGCCAGAGAGCCATGCTGCTTGACTCTCGCTATCTAACTAAGTTGGTCCTTTCCCTTAACGCATTAGCATTCCCTGCGACAGAACCTGTGGCACATTGCCTTGTCGTGCGCTCAGGCTGGAGCTGATCAGGGTGCGCCTGGAGGGAGCGCGTGCAGAGTTTGCCCAACACGTCAGCAAGATCAGCTCCCACGAGGAGCAGTGCGAGGTAAAGCGCATGGAGGGGAAGGAGGCGGCCCATCAGGCTCTCAGCAGCATGCTGGAGGTGCACCTACAGCAGCTGTACACGGCCAGCAGCATGTCTCGCACAGAGAACGAGGCCGCCACAGTCGAGCTCAAGCGCAGCAAGGTGGTGTCCATCCACCGGCCGTCGTGGAGGAAGTTCATGGAGGCAGCAGGCCGGACGGCTGCTGAGGCACCGCTCCCTGAGGGAACGGCAGCCGCTGAGCAGCGCACCATGTTGCGGCTGAATGTGATCGATTGCTGCGCCATGGGGCCCACGCACACGCAGCTCTATCCAGAAATGATCGAGGATGCGGCAAAGGAGGCTGCCACATTCCCAGCCACCTTCTTCGGCATATGCAAGCTGCCGAATGCCCCAGGCAGGCTGTGCAAGAGCGCTGATCCACAGGCAGCTGTGGAGGAGGCGCAGAATGCTGTCCTGGAGAAGTTGAGGGAGACTTCAAGCCACCTCAAGGTTCAGGTGGTGCAAGTGCATTACGATGCTGACACCGTGAAGTCACCCAAGAGGAAATATTGGCACCCTGCGGCGATCTTCGTCTCGGATGAGAAGGAGGCGGATGGCAGCTACAAGTCCGCGTTCCTGACGCGCAGCATTTGGGTGCGTGGGTCCCTGGGTAAGTTTGTGGAGTGCATGAGCCGCGCAGACTACAGGCACTGGACAGCAGACTGTAGCAACTTTGCCAATGTCCTGGCTGCGTCCGCAGACAATGAGGTGAGTGACTTGCGGCAACACCACAGCGGCCTCCCCCTGAACTTGCAGCTCCTGAAAGCCTGCCTGCACGGTTTCTCCACCAAGCTAACAGTGCAGGCGACTGGACACCTGCCGATGACACTTTGAGCCAAGCTTGCATGGTGCTGAACTCTGAGAAGCCCAGGTCCCTCCCCCGCATCGCCTACACAGCCACAGCCTGGGACAACTTCTTGCAGAATGGCGCTGGGAAGAGGCTGATCTCCAACCTCAACACCGCGATGGCAGCAAACCTTCGCAAGATGGTGTTGAACCAAGAGTATGAGCTGCCCGGCCTCCGAGCTGAGGACTTCAGGGTGTTGACGGGGAGCACCAGTGGTGAGGATGCCTCAAGCAGGCCCCCGATGCCCAAGAAGATCCAGTACTGCGTGCCCCGCCAAGCCAACAAGCAGTGGGAGCTGCCAATCTTGGCACAGGAGATCAGCAGGTGGAAAGCTGACCTGCCCAGCATGGATGGGGACATTGAGGACCTGGTGCAGCAGCACAACAAGCTGGTGAACCCTGCAGGCACAGCTTACGCGGCAGCTGCAAAACACGAGGCGGACACACCCAAGCAGGCTGAGGTGGGCCTGCCGTTCGACCGCACCAAGGCTCTGCCAGACCTACCGCAGCAGCCAAAGTCCATTGCTGACATGCCGGACAGGAAGGCCTTTGAAGTTAAGGCTACCAAGACGTCGCCTGGCGGCAAGCTCTGTCCTCCTATGTGTTACTGATTTTGCGTCGCATTTTTTTGAGAAACGCAGTGCTGCGACAGGCTCACCTTGGTGTCCAACCTGTGCGGCGACCTCTTTGTGACAGCCACGGAAGACCAGATGCTCACGGGCGACTTGCCGTTGTTCTCTGTCAAGGGCAAGTGGTTGTTTCGGGAGAAAGCAGACCAGGCGATGCAGGAGCCTGGCCAAGTCTTCGCCGTGAAGCTGAGCGCTGAGGCTGTGGTGGTTCCCGAGGACGCTGTCCGGAAGGCCGCGCCGACTCTCGCTGACATTCCGACGGCGCCGGTGCAGCTCCAGAAGTACGTGCAGGAGCTTGCCCAGCGCAATTTTGTCCACACGAAGCTGATGGGCCACACCATTGCTCGCAAGGAGGGCAGCACAGAGTTCATTGTGTCGCCCACAGGGGCTTGCGCCTTCGAGGGAGCTGTCCTGGCACGAGGCAAGCAAGGAAAGCCGAGCCTGCAGAACTTCGGCGCCTATGCTACCCTGCCAGTCTTGATGGCCGCAGACCGCATCAAGCTTTTGCCTCGGGTCAGCTTCAACCCCGATAACAACACCATCGAGCTTGGATTCCCAGGTGTCCACCTGACACAGCCCATCGCCCTGGTCGCTGGCTCCTTGTACTGCCTGGCCCTGAACCAGAATCGCAACATCAAAGTGGCCAAGGATGAGGACTCTGAGCCGGGAAGTGACGCGGGGGAAGGAGAGGAACCGAAGAAAGGCAAGAAACGCCGCAGACTCACGCCCAAGAAGCCGCAAGTCACACCCAGGAGGACACGCAAGGCGACCTCTAACAAGCGAAAATGGCAGACAAGTGATTGACCAGTGCACTGTTGTCCAGGGCACGCTGTCCCCACATTGGCAAGGCGGCCATAGCCATTTTGAACCCTAGGGACCTTGGGGACTGTGGGGACATGTGGGGCTCTCAACACCTCACACATCACCATTAAATCACCCCAAGGAACCGTCAGGGTGGCAAGCAGCCAGCTTGGAGGGCAAATGCATAGACTGAGTGAGTCGCAGCTTTGAGAAAAAGTCTGTCTGGACTGGCTCTGTGGGTTTGGCTGGCTGGGCTGTGTGCACTTTGAGCTGGCTCCATGTTACACTCTGGGCAGGCTCCGTCATTATCCAGCAGCGGGGCAACTCATTTCCGTGCAGGTTTTCGGCTGCGTCATATCAACAAACTCGTCCCTCGGCCGCGCGCTGGTGGAACCTGCGCCACTCAGACATGTCTGTTTTCCAGCGCTTCCTCCTTGAGGAAGACACCCGAAACCTGTGCGACTCGCAGGAGGTTGCAGAAGAGCTGAATTCCCCAAAAAGTAAGGCCAGCCCTCTCTCAGAGCGACTGCGTGCCTTGGAAGGCGGCACCGAGGTGGAACTCATTCATGAGGAAGTGGCAGAGGAGCGATCGCGTCGGCTGCCCATTGAAGTGCAAGAATTGCCTCGCTAGGAGCCGGGCGCCTCAGCTCGAGGACATGAGCTCGCGAAACTCATTCATGAGGAAGTGGCAGAGGAGCGATCGCGTCGGCTGCCCGTTGAAGTGCAAGAATTGCCTCGCTAGGAGCCGGGCGCCTCAGCTCGAGGACATGAGCTCGCGAAACTCATTCATGAGGAAGTGGCAGAGGAGCGATCGCGTTGGCTGCCCGTTGAAGTGCAAGAATTGCCTCGCTAGGAGCCGGGCGCATCAGCTCGAGGACATGAGCTCGCGGAACTCATTCATGAGGAAGTGGCAGAGGAGCGATCGCGTTGGCTGCCCATTGAAGTGCAAGAATTGCCTCACTAGGAGCCGGGCACATCAGCTCGAGGACATGAGCTCGCAGAACTCATTCATGAGGAAGTGGCAGAGGAGCGATCGCGTTGGCTGCCCATTGAAGTGCAAGAATTGCCTCGCTAGGAGCCGGGCACATCAGCTCGAGATGAGCTCATTGAGGAAATGGCGGAGGCGTGGCAGTCCATAATTTTTTCGAGCACCCGCTTATGCAGGAAGAGCAGGAGTTTCAGGATGATGAGTGCAGCAGCCCTGGGCCCTTGGGACCTTTGCAACACTGCGCAGACAGCCGAGTGAGCTCAGAGGCACCACTAACAAATTGCGCGCTACTGCACAGCTTGCCTGGCAGGCTGCAGAGGAGGTGGGCTCGGAGGCAGGACAGTCCTGGACCACGCAGGAGGCTTCCGCCCTCCTGGTGCGGGAGCCCGCTGCTGAGGACCAAGCCAACCTTTCCATGGAGCAGATGGCTGAAGAGGAGCACTTGCTCAGCTTCCGCAAGGACACGGAGGGTCGAGTGGCCAGCGGTGGTGAGGGACTTCCTCAGGACACAGCTGAGCCTGCGATTCAAGACAAAGGCGCCCTCTCGCTGGCTGATGCGGAGCAACTTCCCAGCCCCCCCGATGAGGTTAAGTGGCGCACTCGAAAGTTGCTGCGTCCGGCGCCACTCTTGGGTGCGAACTTTGCTGGGCGCCGGCGCAACCCTACCAACCAGAGCCGCCTCGACGAGCTTGAGGAGGTATTTGTTGAGCTGGTGCGCCGCTCTCACTCCTTGCCGTCGAATGGCCAGAAAATGCAGCGCTCTTTCTTTCAGCACTGCAAGGGTCGTGAGGACCTCGGCAAGGCTGCCCAAGAATTTGCTGACCGACATGGACTCTTCAATGGGCCAGAGCCCGAAGAAGCCTGGCCTGGTGTCGTGCCAGCTCAAGGGCGTGGGCCGAAGGCTATGAAGCGGCCTGCCACGGCAGTGCTGGCAAAGAAGCCAGCCAGCAAGGTTAGAGCAGAGTGAGTGCACTGTCCAGAGTGCACCATCTTCTGAGGAACTGCTCTCCATGTTGAGTTCTGGGGCCCTGGGGACCCTGGAGACACTAGCCGGGCTGCGCAGGAAACCAGCAGCAGCCGTTGGTAACTCTGGCATTTTGCGTGAGAGCAGCGAACGTTATAAAGGCGGTGTCAGTCTGAGTCGTTGCATGTGACGCTCCACAGCTTGAGACATTGCAGGTGCAAGTGCCTGGGCTCAAGGAATGTGACAGTTTTTCTGATTGCGCTTGGTGGGCTTCATCCGAAGAGGGGCTTGCAAAACCAATGATCGCTGCTGATACTCGCATGCAGTTTGCTCCCACATGTTTGCCTGGGCTCAAGCAAGTGTGACAGTTCTTCTTTTTGTGTGTGCTGGCCAAGCCACTCCAGGGCCTGGGGACCTGGGGATCTAGGGACCTCTGCCATGACTGCAATCTCAGTGGGAAAAACCCTGGCCGTGCCTGAGCCTTCTGAAGAAAGGGACTCCATACTCGGGCAAGCCCGTCGGGATGTCATCCTTCACTTGCAGCAGGACCATGTTTGAGCGTATTTCAATTTCCGCAAGTTTTGATGCGCTGCGTTTCTTGTCATGCGTGAGGAGCTGAAGGATTCCTCTGGGCGAGCGCGGTATGCAGATGTCAACCAGTGGCTGCTCAATGTTCTCGCAGAGCCACACACCCAGAGCTGCTTGCAGGAGCTGGAGAATGCTGTGACGGCCTGGCATTCACCACCAACTTTGCTCACCTCCATTCCTGCCGCCCCGTCCAGAGACGAGACCTTCAGCTTCGCAGTCGCCTGGAGAAAGCTTGGCTGGAAAGAAGACAAGTTCTGCCGCTTCGCGCCGTCCGTCCCCCAGGTCATCGACTGCAGCACATTCTTACTTGACAGGGAGGGCTGCAACTCCGAAGAGTCCCCCATAGTCGTGTACTTTGAGGACGCTGCTGGAGTCGAGCTGCAGGATGGTGTCATTTGTGTTGATTCTGGCTCTGGGTGCGTCACAGCGTGCCACATGGTGCTGGCAGTGGCTGCACTGCGAGGGTGGCACCAGCAGCCATACTTCCAGACCTTGGCCCCCTACCTGTACAAGTGCATGTTCTTGACCTGCCGCTATGTGTATGCCAAGGACTTGACGAAGCGCCGGCGACTCTCTATTGTCAAGAAGAACGAAGTGACACAAAGGACGAGGACAACTCCATTGCGTCTGGCCAGGACTGCGTCAAACGCATGGTCAGTGATCAGCCTCGCTTAAGGCCTGTTGGTCAGTAACCTTGTGTGACAGGACCATTCTCGCGAACTGCGTGGCTGAGCGGGGGCAGGGCAGCAACCTGCCATTGCGCAAACTGGTTGAGGCAGAGCTTAGCAAGCTGGACCAGGCTGCTGGTCGCTCACAAGCAGGACGCCTGTCCTCCGTGGAGAAGAATGCGGTGACCTTCCTCTGCCTCACAACCGAGCCAATCCGGCAGAAGGTCCGCCTCATCTGGGGTGATGAGAAGGTGGCCCACAGCGCGGTCCCGACGGAGTTCCTGGACATTAAGGGGCAGGGGCGCTTCCTGATGGAGACCACAGTGCCAGAGGAGAAGGCGGAGTGGCGGGAGCGGACGGCCCCTGCAGAAGAGAAGCTGTTGCTGTGGCTGGACCGGCTGTCTGAGGCCTTCAGCTGGCGGGCGCAGGAAGCTTACGAGAAGTCAGAGCGCCCATCCATGGACGCTGTCGCGCACAAGTTTCGGGACACTGAGCCAGAAATTGTCTACAGGACTTGTTGCATGTTCCTTGAGAGCAGCCCGGACCAGATCGCCCTCATGTCTTCTGAGCGACAGCAGCACTTGCTCCAAGACTTCTTGCGTGGCAAGATCAGCAGCATGGTCCCCTCAGCCAAGGCCATGGACCCAACGTATCGGCCAAGGACCCATCTACGCTTCTTGAGGGAAGCCATGAGCATGGCATCTGGTGATCAACAGGCGCTGCAGGCAGAAGAAGCGCAGGCAGAAGCTACCAGGAACAGCCAGAAGGCTATGCTGCTTGACAGCCTTAACACATGTGCCAGATAGTGTGTCCTGCGACAGAACATGTATTGCTGTGTCGCGAGCTCAGGCTGGAGCTGATCAGGGTGCGCTTGGAGGGAGCACGCACGGAGTTCGCCCAACACGTCAGCAAGATCAGCTCCCATGAGGAGCAGTGCGAGGTAAAGCGCATGGAGGGGAAGGAGGCGGCCCATCAGGCTCTCAGCAGCATGCTGGAGGTGCACCTCCAGCAGCTGTACACGGCCAGCAGCATGTCCCGCGCAGAGAATGAGGCTGCCACGGTAGAGCTCAGGCGCAGCAAGGCGGTGTCCATCCACCGGCCATCATGGAGGAAGTTTGTGGAGGCAGCAGGCCGGACAGCTGCTGAAGCGCCGCTCCCTGAAGGAACGGCCGCCGCTGAACAACACACCATGCTGCGGCTGAACATGATCGATTGCTGCGCTATGGGGCCCACGCACACGCAGCTCTACCCAGAAATGATCGAGGATGCGGCAAAGGAGGCCGCCACATTCCCAGCCACGTTTCTCGGCATATGCAAGCTGCCGAATGCCCCGCCAGGTAGGCTGTGCAACGCCGATCCAGAGGCAGCTGTGGAGGAGGCGCAGAATGCTGTCCTGGAGAAGTTGAAGGAGACCGCAAACCACTTCAAGGTTCAGGTGGTGCAAGTGCATTACGATGCTGACACTGTGAAGTCACCCAAGAGGAAATATTGGCACCCGCTTGCAGTCTTCACCTCGGATGAGCAGGAAGCCAACGGCAGCTACAAGTCTTTGTTCATGAAGCGCAGCATTTGGGTGCGCGGGTCCCTGGGTAAGTTTGTGGAATGCATGAGCCGCGCAGACTACAGGCACTGGACGGCAGACTGCAGCAGCCTTGCCAACGTCCTGGCTGCGTCCGCAGACAATGAGGTGAGTGACTTGCGGCAACACCACAGCGGCCTCCCCCTGAACTTGCAGCTCCTGAAAGCCTGCCTGCACGGTTTCTCCACCAAGCTAACAGTTCAGGTGCGCGACTGGACACCTGCCGATGACACCTTGAGCCAAGCTTGTATGGCGCTGAACTCTGAGAAGCCCAGGTCCCTCCCCCGCATCGCCTACACGGCCACAGCCTGGGAACATTTCTTGCAGATTGGCGCTGGGAAGAGGCTGATCTCCAACCTCAACACCGCGATGGCAGCAAACCTTCGCAAGATGGTGTTGAACCAAGAGTATGAGCTGCCCGGCCTCCGAGCTGAGGACTTCAAGGCAATCACAGGCAGCGTAGATGCTGAGGATGCCTCAAGCAGGCCCCCAATGCCCACAAAGATCCAATACTGCGTACCCCGCCAAGCCAAGAAGCAGTGGGAGCTGCCAATTTTGGCACAGGAGATCAGCAAGTGGAAAGCTGACCTGCCCAGCATGGTTGGGGACATTGAGGACCTGGTGCAGCAGCACAACAAGCTGGTGAACCCTTCAGGCACAGCTTATGCAGCAGCTGCAAAACACGAGGCAGCCACACCCAAGCAGGCTGAGGTGGGCCTGCCGTTCGACCGCACCAAGGCTCTTCCAGACCTCAAATGCACCAGCTGGCGAGCGTTGGCTAAAGCCTTACAAGTTTCTAGCCTATGGCCCCGGGAGATTGGCAGGCAATTGGATTTGGAGCAGCCAGGCGCTGCCGCTGCCCCAATGGCCAGCATGCGCCCCTCATGAAACTAGAAGCCTCGGGCGTGTCTGGTACTCCAGGTTTGTCAGCGTCTGCCAGCTATCCAAAGCAATTGGGAGAGATGCTTGTGAAGGCATGGCAGTGGGCCAATGATCACCAGAAGGATGACGACAGCTACACGTACACCAGCGACTCGGATAGCGAGATGGAGGCCAGCGCAAGCTCTGACGATCAGTCCTCAGACCCAGACGAGTTCAACCCAGGCGCGTGGCAGCGCTGAAGCTTGAAGAAGCTGATGGGGATATGGGGCGCCATGAACATGGCAAACTTGGGGCTGCTTGGGGGATCCTGGCCGCCCTGACTGTCATGTCATATCTTTAGCCTAGGTGTGTCTGGCAGAAAAGCTGCCATCACTTTGATCTACCTAGACTGTGGTTTGCGTGGGGTGAAATTATTTGCTCAGGCTTTTTGTTTGCTGGAGTAGCAGTGCAGTTGGCAACAAGCTATCTCCGCGCACTCTTTGCGGCTCAACTTGATGCTGAGAGATTTGCAAAAACAAGAATGCATGCTGCCACGCCACTGGCAGGGCTCTGGCCCAGCGATGGGGCCACAGAGTTTCAGCCACTGGCATGGGAAGCTGCCGTGGAAGCAGGTGTGCCAAATGAGTTTGCGCCATGCGACTGGCAGGATGCAGGTAAATCCTCTCTTGCAAGCAGCCGCTCGCGCAAGAGGCTTCGCAGAGCCCAGTCTTGCCAGGGTCATGGGCAGCCAGGAGCAGCTTCTCAGGCAGTGAATGAGTTTGTGCCAAGCTCCTGGGAAGCTCCAGAGCATGAACTGTTGCCAGCTCTCAGCAAGCCAAGGCCTGCGCAGCCAACCCTCCACGCAAGTCTGGATGAGTCCAATTGGTGCCCAGGCCAGCCAGGCGCCCCAAGTCTGCAAGCACAAAGAGTTAACCCTGAGAATGGCACGGCCTATCAGAGAAATGGCTCCGACCCCGACCGCATTTACGAGTGACCCACAAGCTCAATGCAGGTGCCGCCGACAGTGCCACACAGGTCTCAGTTTCCGCCGTGCAGTGGCAGTATGCCGGGCCTTCTGGGCAATGGAAGACCATGAGCGTGCCCACATGCTGCGTTCAGTGTATTACACAGCCGCGCAGGGTAGATCCAGCGCAGGGCCTTGGAAGTGACGACCCAGACAGTGGTGAGTCACACAGTAAGCGGCAGTGGCACCTGTGCGGCCAACGTGTTTGCTTGTCCAATTTTGCCTGCATTCTCGGGACCTCTCAGTCGTCAATCTGGAAGCAAATTTATGGGCAGCCTGACAGGCGCACTGGCTCCTTGTCGTCACGGGGCAACTTGGCGTCGCAGACCTCAGTGGCAGTGGATTGGTGGTTCTGGGAGATGTATAACAGTGCTGCAGAGCCTTTACCTGACCACCCCAAGAGCCGGAAGAAGCTGAAGCCAGGAGCTGCTTCACACTTTTGGCTGGATGAGCCTTGGCTGCGCCCCGGAGACGTAGTTCAGAGCCAGTTGTCCGAGGCAGAGGCGGGCAGTTCTGACGAGTTCCGGCCAGAAGAGCTCAGGCTTGGATGGGCTGGCCCATCGCACCATGGCTTGCAAGATGGCCGCAGTGGGGACGATGGGGATCGTGGGGATCAGGAGGGCTGCAGCGCTGTTTTGCGGTGGAACCCCGACCATCCAGTCGTTGACCACCTGTCTGCGTGGACTGTGGCGTCCCAGCGCCCCACCTTAGGTCTGCCTGTGAGGTACCTGCAGCACACAACCTTGCACAACTTATACTGGCTTTTCACTGCGAGCTGGGCGACACTGCAGGAGCACCTGCCTGCTGGCGCAGTCAGGCCAGCTACCCCCGGCCCTCCATCTTACCGCACCTTTTGCCGCCGCTGGAAGCACTGGCGGCGCTACCTCCGCATCAGAAAGAGAAGCCAGCATGCGCAGTGCACGATCTGCTGGCAACTGCAGCGCTCTATGGAGAATGCGAAGAGCTCATGGGCAGAGCGCTTGGACGCTGCCAGAGAACTCCGCGCGCACCACGCAAGGCAATACCTTGACCGCTGCATCTACTGGTCGCTACGGTGGTCCTCGAGCACGGGCAAGAACGTCCTCTGCATCAATATCGACTCCATGGATAAGACCAAATTCGCTTATCCAAGATGGCCCACCGCACGCCTGCCAAAGGCTGTGGAGCAGTGTGTCCGCCCAAAGCTAGTGTTCACTGCTGCGCTTGCCCACGGATACTGCTACAACCTCTTTGCGAGCGAAGAGACGCAGTTTCATGGCGGCAGCCACTTCATTGAAGTTTTGCCGCAGCCTTGGCTTTCCGTTACATGGCACCCACATAACGCCTCCCCCCTTTCTGGGTGCCTGAGGTCCAGGACAATTGAGGACGTCGCACGCATTTGCCGCGAGCGGGGGCAGCCCTTGCCGGACCATCTGCTGATCCAGTCTGACAACACAGTGGCACAAGCGAAGAACAAAGAGGTCATGGCAGTCTGCGCTGCATGGGTGTTGCTGAGGTTGTTTCGGACAGTGACGGTCAACTTCCTCACTGTCGGGCACACTCATGAGGACTGTGATCAATTGAGCCTTGGCTGTCAAATAGCCTAGCAAAGATGACTTGACTCTGGCTGCGCTGGTCTAGGTTTGGCTGTGTCACATCATGGCTGCTGGACCTTGTGCAATTCAACAACCCTATGGATGTCTTGACGTACGTCAAGGGCAAGCTGGAGGCAAAGCTGGAGAAATGGCAGGCGCAGGGGCAAGCTCGGCTGGGACGGCTCTCAAAACCTAACTTGACTCCAGTCTCACCCTGACAGGAATGCGTTCACGCCAGGCTGTTGAATGGCATTCGCGACTGGAAGAGCTGGGTTGGAGAGCTTCTGGCCGGTCCTCTCCAGTGGCACAACGCGTTCATGAACCGGCAAGGCGTGGACTCCCCACACTCTTGGAGCTTCAGAGCACGCAGCGACCTGTGGGAGAATGACTTGCAGCTTGGCACAGAGGACCGGCGGTGCGCAGCCTCCAGCGACGTCATGCTCTGCCTGAAGGCGTACATGTCGGACATGCAGCCGCAGCAAGCACCTCTGCAATGCTTGCAAAAACAGCATGTCTCTGCCATCCGGGAAGTCCTTCCCAGCCAACTGGTGGAGCGCAAAGCCTTGCCCAAAAATTTGATAGAGAGCTACCTCACGCTGGCGTCGTTTGCTGAGGATGCCGGCTTCACCGAGGCGGCTGCAGCGCTCAAAGATTTGGTGGAGGCGCGGCGCTATGAGAGGGTCCCTCTCAATTGGATCAGGGAGCCGCGTGACTATGCTCAAGATCACTCCCTTGATCGAAATCCGTTTCACTCACACTTGCCCCGAAGCACGTGGCGATTGGTCATGCGCTAGCCAGCCGACAAGTGGCTGGGGACCTTGGGGACTTTGGGGAGTTGGGGCTTCGCTTCATAATGAAGGCTTGAGACACAAACGCTTGGGGTTCAGGCGGTTGGTGAAAACCGAGCGCCAGTGCGCGCATGTCCAGCTGGAGCACATTCCAAAGATACCGATCCAGCCGTGCGCAGTCAAGCTATTGTGCTCCAATTTCGCTCCAGCCAGCGTGCCTGCTCCAAGGCGCCCGACGTCCAGCTGCCAGGCCCACAGACCTCGGGCCGATTGGGTTGGGAGTTGGTCCTGGCTGGTGTCAACAAACCCGCGCCGCTTGAATCAAACAAATGAATTCTCAGGATTAACGTTTCAGGATTGCTGTGGCCCCGAGCTCCCAAAAATGGCCCCCAGAATGGCTAAGCAAATCCGCATGACGCCCAAATTAAGGTTGGCACCCGGCACCTGGCGCCAAACGAATGAATTCTCAGGATTAATGCGCCGCCCTGGCGCCAAAAAAAAGAATTCTCAATGGCTGTGACCCGGCACCTGGCACCAAACAAATGAATTCTCAGGATTAACGCGGCCACCCTAGCACCATGGCTAAACCAATCCTCATCCTCATGACACCCAAACCCAAATTAGGGCTGGCGCCCGGCCAAGCAAATGAATTCTCAGGGGCCGCCCTCGCACACAAAAAGAGAATTCTCAGGAGCTCCCAAAAATGGCCGCCCAAAGTACATGTGGCTGCCCTGACTGGCACCCAAAAAAATGAATTCTCAGGGATGGCTGTGGCCACCGAGCTCCCAAAATTGACTTCTCCATATTTCCAGGGTCCCAAAACTCAGAGTGAAGGCACCGCTGCCCTGAAAAATGAATTCTCACCTGGCACCCTGTGTTGGGCCCTGTCGGCGGCCTAGCCCCAGAAAATTGAGTTCTCAGGGTGGGTGTGGCACTGCTCCTGGAGAGACACACTTTGCTGATGCCTCGACTCAGGCAAGAGAAGAGCAGGATGCTGGCGCGCGTGGGAGGCAGTGCGGACAGGAGTCTGGGGCTGCTGGAGCGTATGGTTGCGCGAGGGATTGCCTGGGAGGGGGGTCGCGTGGGGATGGCGCGAGACAAAAAAAGAAGACAGGCAAGGTGCGCCAGGGGGTGCGTCAGGGGGTGCGTCAGGGTGCGTCAGGAGGGGTGCGTCATCATCAGGAAGTGCGTCCAGGGGTGCGTTAGGTGGTGCGTCAGGGGGTGCGTCAGGGGGTGCGTCAGGCGCGCGCGCCCCGCGCGCCCGACGCAGGGCGCGCGCCCGACGTCGGGCGCGCGTCGGGCACGTCGGGCGTCGGGTGCGACTGGCTCCTGCGAGAAAGAAACCAATTTCTATGAGAATTCAATTTCTGGACCCATGGGCCAATCCTGAGAATTCACTTTGGTTCAGTATCTGACGGGTTTGTCACGGCGCGTCTTGAGAACTCATGTTCGATGCCATGCCCTCACATGAATCAGAATCAGCATTGGCCACTGGTACGGACAGACTGTGTTTCCTCGAAGAATGGTCAAGGATGGACGTGTATACAAACAAGTAACACACGTGCCAACATCACACCGGATGATGAAGGATGGACGCAAGTACATACCAATAACAAACGCACGCAGATCACAAAGAATGGT